TGTGTGTGTGTGTGTGTGTGTGTGTGTGTGTGTGTGTGTGTGTGTGTTGAAAAACATAAAATAATAGATAATAACCGCCTGAGAGTAAAATCGATTGAACGATTGAAGTAAATAGATACAAATATTGTTACGGTAAGGAAGATACCACACACTAATAAATTATAGCAGATCATGATTTTGTACTCAAAAGACTTAAAATAATATCGATTTTCTGATCAATATTATGATTAACAATATTGATATTTCAGATTAAAATAAACTTATCTTAATAAACAAAATTGTCATTTTGAAATACCCATAAATATATACTAAAGAAGCGTGAGCATGTTGTATTATCCGAGTCTTACAATGTATAACACATTGGTATTGAACAAGTATCACTCACGGTCAATAATAAAACGAGATAATTAACTTCTATTAAATTTAATCATGTTTTTAGTAAACATATTTATACATACTATGTATATACAATTTAATATTTAATTGCGTTGATTAAAAAATAAGTGATTAATTGTTATTTTAAATAAAGTGAGATTTAATATTTTTATTTAGATGACACATTCATACATAGTTCCACGTGCTACGAGAACAATGGGGGAAGGGAGAATCAGTTATCCTGAGTGTGATCCCTCTCAGACTAAATACAATGCAATGATTTGTATACATAAATCTTAAGTTAAAACATGTATGTATAATAATGTACATAAGAGAAAGAGTTTTTTTGTGTGAACAACTGCACAAGTTTTCTTCATTCAATGCTATCATCGATACATAGAGTTATTATACGATACTCAAAACTGTTTACAGATACTAACACACACGCGGACGTATGCACACATGCATATACGTACACACATAAAATCGTTGCCTGAAATAAAATGATAATGATCAAACCATCGAACGGATTATGCTGTCCGTGCCCATTGAACATCCATATAATTATCGTTATTTTATATTATTGATGGCAACTATACTTGTTTACAGACCTACTATATATTATTACTATTATATACATAATAAATCTCATTTGTATGATTTTTTTATTACTACTACTTTTTTTCTATCAATATTATTAAATTATCCATACTTTCAATGGTATTTCATTAATCAATGTCATTTGTTTTCGATAATATCAATAAACAACGTTGTATTCATATTATTATAATTGTTATTTTTTGTTGATATACTTTATAATCAAGAATTATTAATATTATTTAAAATGTAGTTTACAAGTTTGATCAACTTTAATTTATTCTATTACGAGTATCTGACATTTGAATAGGAATATGAAAAAATCGTGTCAAGATAACATTTATTTTTTTGTAAATTATTTTTCTCTGGATATTCGCTTCAAATAAAATAAAACTATCGAAAAATTATATGATACACTAAATTGGTAAAATTACGCGGTTTTAATGTCTTAATTTTTTTTTTTTTTTAAAGTTCATCCATTTAAATATATTAATACGTTTGACATCGATATTTTGATAAATTATGTTGAGAAGAATTAATATAGATATAAATTAAGTACAGCCTGTATATATATATAGCGTCTATATTGGACAAGAAAGTATACCAAGATGGTTCAGGCATGTAATGAGACGAGAGGAATCAAATGCAGTGAGAGTTGTTATGAAAATGAACGTTGAAGGGAAAAGTGGAAGAGGGAAACCAAAAAAAGAGATGGTTGGATACGATTGAGAATGATATAAGGGCCATTGGTGCGTAGGGGATGTAGAAAATCGAGACGAGTGGAGGTTTATCTCAAGGGTGACCGAACCCCAAATAGTTGGAAGAAAGGCGAAGGAGAAGAAGAAGAATAAATTAAGTACTCGAATGACGTAGCCATGCAAATCACTTAATTCTAGTAGACAAAAACCGCTGTAAGTGTAGTAGCGGGTCTCTTTAAGCTTTTAATTTTAAATTAATCAATTTTATACATTTTATTTATTATACTAATTATTTTTATTGATAATGTAAATAAAACGTAAGAAATCTAATAAACATCTAAACAATAATACATTGAACAATAGTCGTACCTAAAATATACAATGAAACAAAATAAAAACTTACCCTATTATTGAAAGGAAGTTCACGATTCATTTGCACAACACCGTTATTACGCGGCTTGCGGCTGTTGCCGAAGCTTCTTCGCGCTTCTGAAGTAGACTTAGCTTCAGGTCTAAGGTGATCGTGAACACCTTTGGCTTGGAAAAAAATTGCATAATCAGTGTGTCTCCAAAAATGAGTAACTGGATAACCACAATGTCCTCTACATTGTATTATTTCTAATTTACCGCCATCACAATCTCTATTTGGGCACGATTTACCTGTAAATTATATATTAAATATAAACATATTTTATAATACATACACTACTGACTGTTTGAATGGTTTATTATTTTGATTATCTGTATTTTTATTGTGGAAATATAAAATAATGCTCGCATACATTTATATAGAAACATTTTTTGGAAAAATCAACAAGTTTTTATTAGTGCTATTACATCCCATAAGCAAATGAATTAATTTATAAGAAAATTAAAAAAAAAAAACAGTATTTATATAAACTATTAAAGAATTAAATTAAATTTGTACGTGTGGTTATGTGAGTGAAAAGCTTCATAAGAATAAATATTTCAAGTAATATATATGTAAGTAAGTGATAAGACTAAACTCCGATGCAATACTACGTTGAAACATATTTAAACAATTTAGGTATATTTATGATTATTAATGTATATATATATATATACAAAATTACTTTTGGTGAAAGTTGTTTTTAAATGGCTCGAATTTTAAAAAATATATGGATTTTCAAGTAAATAATATTTTGAAAACAGCAGCTATAAAAATAATATCTTAAAGACATTTTCTTAAATAAAAATACCCATCAAAAAGCAAATAAGTATAATGTCAAATAATTTACCTTGTTGCTTTTTTCTAGCTTTGTCACATATTGCTGGTCTTAGGTGGACAGTTCCCCCTGTAGGAAGTGTACACCTTTTAGAGCATACCAGAACACCCAAGCACGACTTTTTTAATATGTGAACATTGTGGTTGTTGGTATTTCTCATTGCCCATCCAGAAGCGTGCCTTTTTGCTTCTTCGCTGTTAGGCGAGTACACCAATCGACAGTGACCATCAGCCCACTCTTCCCACGCATCAAGATTACTCACCTATTAATAATTAACAAACAATAATGAAAACACTTATTAAAATCCTTTGATGATTAGGTAGCATTTTTGTTAACATTAACATGTTATACCAAAATACAATTACAATTATAAAAATTATAATTCATATTTATCTTTCAAAATACTTAATATAGTTATAAATATCTATAAAAAAATGCATAGGAACAATAAATAAAATTAGATACAAATTATAAAACAATATAATATCATTTGTTAAAACGTACAAATATCATTGGTTTATAACAATGAAAATATGTTCAGACTCGTAAAATAATAACCAATAATAACAATATAATACTAAATAATAAGATAAAAACCATTAATTGTATGAAAATTTATAAAAATATCGAGAATTAAGAACCAGTTATATTTTGAAATAATAATGAAATTTAATAATGTATTGAAATACCTACTATATAAGTAATTTTTAATTTTTTTTAAATAAATTTACCTACCTAGAACTTAAGAACTCTTATATTAATATGAACAAGCATTTGATAAAAAATTTGACACAATTTATAACATAATAAATAAACCAAATTAAATAATATATTTAATGAAATATAAAATCGTATATTATAAACCGAATCAATAGATATTTATTTCACGTATAATTGTAAGTTGTATCAATTAAAAATTTGTGAAAATCATTTTCAATATAAATACTAAACTTTAGAGTTAATACATATAGAAATATGTGATAAAAGCATAATAGCATAATAATTTTTTTCATTACACCTACTATAATATACATATAATTTAATTTCGCAAGATGTGATAAATGTAAATTTATTAGATAGATAAGAATAGTGCTATTAAGTTGAGATAATAAAAGTAAAATACTCTTGTACAAAAGCAATGAAAAAACTATATTAGACTCATAAATCACAATTGTAAATCGTTTACATAATAAAAAATAAATATAAAAATTTACCCTGGGTATAATAGAATCGTTTATGTCCCAATCTGCAATTCGAGAAATAGATTCAGTCGGAGGTCTTCCACGAGAGTAACTAAATTCATCACACATGTTTTGATTTTCGTATTCTGGTTTGCTAAAATACATGATAAATTAGCTATATAAGAACATCGAAAAACTGCGGTAATAATTATTGTAGATGTATAGGTTAAACATTATCATTTGGTTGACGATTTAAAATATTTATAGACAATACGTAATATTTGTACACTATCTAAATGTTAGTGTCGATACGTCCGTACGGTCATTAATGACTAGATAAAATTGAGACTGTAAATTTGTTGTATTAAATACACCTCCTAATTTGTTACACCTGTACCTTGTTGTACCTCGAACAAAATAATATGGGTTAAATACTGTGAATTATTTCATTTACTACGCCGGGAGTCAAAAAAAAAATCCATTGCACGTATAATATGATGTTATTCTATTTTTGCAAGTGTTCTAAAAGTGTACAATAAACGTTTCAACATGGATTATATTTTTTTTTTTTAATAATGTACAAGACAAGCTACGCACATGTCGTGAGTTGTACAGATAAAATTCGCTTTTAGTCGAAACGCAATAATAACAATAATAGTAAGTATACCATTAAACATTATTCGGGGTCGTAAACGGTTGGAAACGATCGCGTAAGTGTTACGTAAATTCCGTCCTAATATAATGTTATAGAGTATTGAATAATTGTTGAATAATTGTGTACAGTGTGCGTAGTATTCGGCGGCGTCAAAGTTGAAATCGAAACATTTTTAACAAAAGCACTCGCCCTCTTTCAACTGAAATCGAAAAATATTTTTAAGAGCGAAATTTCGCGGAAAATAATCTACCAGTGACTGCTTGAACATGAAACGATTCAGTAGGTACTCTCACTGTATCGACGACGCTAAATTCTTAAAATCGTTACCGAGAAAAATGCTAAAAGTCGAATGTCACAGTTTCACATAAATCCGGATAGAAATAAAGTTGTTCGTGAAAACGGAGAAAATAATACCCATTTATCGACACGACGAGTTAATGTTAAACAAACACGAATGTTATGAAATTCGGGGAAAAATTGCAGTTCGGGTTGTGATAACAGAGGAAGTTAGCGTGTTAATAATATTAGTACATACAACAATAATATTAATCGTAATGGTAGTAACAATAATTATAATATGGCAGGGGCGCGGACGTCTTTTAATTGTACTACGGTGTGACGATACATTTTTTATATACAATTAAAAGAGCGGTAACGTACGCGGTACGAAACGCAACGCACAATGGTAATAATATCGTTATTTCCATGAAATAATTATGGCGAAAGACCCAACAAGCGCACTGTTAATATATATATATATATATATATATGCATGACTTACTGTCGCGGAGAACAACACGTTATAATATGTAATTCGGTACATAACGTTTGTCGATCGATACGGTGGGAAAAAAATAAATCAAAAAAAAGCGGAAACGGAGAAAACGAAATAATAAAAAGCACTGGAAAATATGTTTTTCGTCGTACAGCGAACCGGAGTGTAATAATATTATCGTGGAAGTTTTTACTCACAAGTTGACGACCATAGTACAGATGTGAACCCCCGGTCTTCCGGGCGCCGTGTGCTGATCGCGGCTGTACGGACGGCGACTCCTCCGCGAGACTTGACGTCGGCGAATCTCGGCAAATGAATGGTTACGGACGACGGCAGTGCGCGACCGTTATCTCGGTTTCCGGAACCGCGGTCGAGTACCTGACGACGGCACGTGACCGGTCGGCGTTATCGTAGCGCGGCGCGGTAAGTGGTGTTACGTGTGCGCGCGGCCGAAGCGGATGGCGTCGACGACGACGGGAAACCGCCGGCAGCAGCGGTGGACGCGATCGGATGGCAAACGGATCGGGTCGCGTGGCCGGTGGTGGACGACGGCGAGCTATCGGGAAACGGCCGGGCGACGGACGGACGGACGGCAGTGCCAGTGGCGTGTGCGACAGAAGCGTACGCGGCTCGTGCGAAACGTACACTGATCCTGTTGCTGTGCGTCGGCAGTGGACATCTGCGCGGCGGCACGTTAACCCTCGGGTTTCGGGGCCGTACGCGCGCCGACCAATCGGAACGCAGACCAAACCCACCGATTTCAAAACGGTAGTTTCGCCGCCGCCGCCGCCACCGCCGCCGCTACTACGCGTAGACGTTAACAAGTCCGGCCGCCTTTCTTCCTCGTGCGAAACGTCATGTATTGTTCCGTACATTTTGTCTACCACCTCCCAGTGGCGTAAAAATCGGACGGGCAAATGTATCAACTGTTCGTGTTAATGGCATTACATAAGAACACTATTGAAAATATTTATATATCAGTTATTTTGAGTATTTTTTTATTTATTTATTTTTTTTTTTTTTTTTTGCTTGATGAGTTACTTTATTATCTCTGATTCAATTACACTCGAACAACGTCGATATTGGAACTCTGTTATTTTCATATAAGAAGTCCGTTTTAGTTGAATCCTTCTTTTCTCTATTTACGACACTGTTACCATTTAACCGGTGGTTGACTTAGGATTTTGTTTCTACTTGTTCTACTGTTATTATTGACTATTCTAGTAAAAAGATTTACATATTCATGTACGAGTGTCACAAGTGTTTACGGTTTCAATCGAGATAAACAAAACAAGGATAAAATATTTACTTCTATCATACTTTTAAGAATTTTAAACATTTTTTTAAAGACGAAAATCGGAAAAGTACTATTCTAATATTGAAAATACTCATAGGAAAAAAGGAAATTCAATCACCACCACTCCACCGTAAAAACGCCTCCGAGTGTAACAACTTACGATATAACAGGGCCATAAATGTTCAATTCTTTTTACTTCACTTTACATTTTATAAAAAAAAAGTTTGTATAGGCTTGTGCTTAATTACGTACACTTTTGAAAAATAATCTGTTTTTCTAAATATAAACCAATTTTATGATATTAGTAAACGTAGGTAAGAAAACCATTTTTGTGTTTCGAAAAAATAAAATATTTCAAACAGTTTTTTTTTGAACATTACTTAAATGTTTCATACACATATTTAATATATTGGGTTAAAACGTAAAATAAATATTTCAACTCGTTACACGCTAAATGATATTCGTATAGGCAAAATATTAGATGTTCATTTTCAAATTACGTACAATAAAAATTTCAATTTTTGTGCTAGGTACTCAAAGCGTATCCTCGACCGTAGTACACACAGTTCTAGGTCCTGCGTTATAACTTAATGTTTATAATAATGATTTATCGGTTTATTTAACGGTAGACGTCAGTTAGAATATTATTATTACAATACTCCAGGTATGCGCATAATAATACGCGACGGACACGCGTAGCAAACGAAAGAAAAATGCTCTTCTATCACGTTTTTTTGTAGATATACGTATGTGCAACCCGGTAAGCATATTATCTTACACGTTATTTATTGTACTGCCTAATCACATGTGTATTACACACACTGCGCACACGAGTAGGTACATTATTCATTGACGTACTACAGAGCGACTACCCGGTAGGTCTTTCGTTTGTATCTTTTTTTTTCATCGCTTAATCTCTTAATAATACCTAACCAAATATTATAACAATAAAAACAAATTTAACTATGTTATAATGTACACGCATGCGTTTACATACGACGCGATCCAAATATCGTATTTTATTAATACGTCAACGCTTGCACGTGCACGGAGAAAAAATGAATAAATATACGAATAAAATTCAAATCACACGGGTATGAATGTATAATGTTTATACGCACGGATAAAACGCGTAGTGACCGCCGTGGACCGTTCTGTGAACCTGGAACTCGTTTGCAGCCGAGCTGGGGCGTTACGCGTTTTTAAAGGAGTCCATAATTTTCGTCATGATCATGAGAGATTTATAGTGTCGCAGAGCTTTGGGTTTTTTTTTTCTTAATTAGACTACCGCAATAATATCATGCCGTAGTTTCTTTCCGTATACGCTAAATTCAATAACAGAAAGATTCGACGTTTGTAATACGTTCAACTTACGATTTACACTCGTCCGCTTTCGACACATCGATAAATATTTTAACCTTAAGCAGTAAAATAAACTGAACAGTAGTAACAAAAAATATTGATTCCAAATGCTGCGTAATAATGGCCAAGAAAACCGTGTTCGAATTATTTTAAAACAAATATATTTTCTCGTCCGTGTCATATTTAAGACATTTTATAAGAAAATATTTACGATCATGTTGAGATGCATTTCAATATAATCTTGTATTGATTACTGCATTATAATTGGAATCAAACACAGTGATCATTATGATATCAACAGTATTGCTCAGGTATATTTTCGGAAAATATTTTTTTGTTTTCATATTCGAACACGAAAGTGGAACCAAATACTTGTGGACCTGAGGGTCAACGAGCAATTATGAGTGCGAATCATGGTTCCATTATTTCTCCAACGTTCCCCTTCTCCATCTTTTACTACGCAGTCCTTTGAGGGGTGAGGTAGAGGAATCAGGTGTGATCCAGGAACTAAGAAACAAGTGTAAACTGTCTTTAGACATAGATATCTACTGATCCATTCATAAACCTTTGCTTAAAATCGTTTTTCCAAACCATTGGTACATTGATTTCAAATGTATAAGAACGATTCACTTTTAGGCATCAGTAACCTGTGCCTATGTCTCGCTTTTTTTTTAATATTCTATTTCTTTGTAAATTTTGATTTTATCCTTAACAATAGAGTTTAATTCGATGATCTGAGATGATATGTGTTACCCCTTTGCTTAAAATACGAGTAGTAACCTATCCGTGAAACGGATATCTCATTGATGTAAAAAAAACCTGATACCATAGTGTTCATAAAGTTGTCTACAAGGTGACAATGTGGCGCCAAAGTGAGAACTTCATCTTCCTGTGATCACCCGCATACTGATGCTTATCGTTGTGCAATAATATAGATTGTTAAGTTTTTGTTGAGACATTATTGTTTAAAATCTTTAGGCATAACCAACCCATTTTATTTATTTATTTATTTTATTTATTTTCGTGTATATCGATTCAACGTAAAGAACTTTTAATATATTTGATTAATTTCACAACTCATAAGAATATTTTATTATTATTGTATATTTTTTACTATAGGTACCTTTATATGACGGGTTTGTTTTATAAAATAGATAAAATTGTAACGAATACCTTAAAGATTAATTTTTAATAATATAATATTAAATTTAAGACTAATGGAATATGGTTGAAAACGGTTGATAAGATATGTTGAACTAACTAATAACTCTATACATTTCATAAAATTACGATTTCCATTAGGTTGTTTTAATTACATATTTATCACTTATTTGAAGACATTTATGGTATGCGAATTATATTTAATTCAAATTCAAATTTTTGAATTAAAATATTTTTCACTCTGTATACATTTACCACCAATTTAAGATCGAAGAGTAAAATCAAAAAGAAATAATTATAGCTATTCCAATAATATTTTTCGTTTGATAATTTATAATTATTTTTCTTTTTACTCGTTATAGCTTAAAATATGTATTAATAAGTTGTACAGAATGAGTAAATTTAATAATACTTCGTTCGTTAATTCATTGAATAATTAAGGATAATAAAATATTGAATTTTTGTTTTTAGTTTGATTTTACGATATAACAATGAGAAATAAAATCAGTTAAACACATTTCATTAATTTTAATTATGCAGTTTAAAGTTAATAATATTTTATAAATAAATTACAATCATTTAAATGACAGATATTTAGTTGATCCAACAATTTTTAGAAGTTGTAAGTTTACCTATATTAGGTATATATATATATATGTATTTACCTTGTGTACTAACCTATAGGTACATAAGCATTAACTTTTTTCAATTATATATTAATACTATACATTTTTAAAGGAACTAATTAATTATATAACTAATTCAATTGCGAGTTACTATACTTACATAAACTGTTATTTGATTAAAAGAATATATTCAATTCTTATATTCAATAAATTAAAACGGTCAGTTAACCGGTAAACAGTAAGTGTAAATAACAATTTCTATGCATGTTTTATGTACCTAAGTGTACAATGATACATAATTATGATTTATCAATTTGAGGCATTACTGCTTGAGGTTGTATATAATATAAAATATGTACATTAGATGTATTAAAAATAATATTATTATAATAATATATTGTATTACCTTTATACTCTTATATAACTAGTGGCGTGACCAAAGGGTAGGCCAAGTAGGCTCGGGCTTAATCCGTTTTCAAATAGTTATTATCAGGGCTAGAATTTTTATGCAATGAAAAATTGTAAAATATGCACTTTATTTACCAAAATATGCAAAAATATGCATTTAATTTTTTATAAGATAAACACAAAAATATGGTAACAAAAAAAATATTTATTTATTGAAATACATAAGTGGTTGGCTGTTTGTCTTAATATATTATAGTCAAGAAATAAAATAAAATAATTTAAAATAAAATTGTTTGACAAAAAAAAAACAAGTTTTATACTTTAATCAGCAGGGCTAGAATTAAATACGAAATATTAATAATAAATTATAAATATTAATTATTAATATACTATAAAACACTCATTTTTCGCATTCTCATAATTGAAATATGCAATAATATTAATTTTATTCAATATATGCAATAATATGCATTTTATCCAAAATATGCAAAATAGAAATACCACCATTTATCTTATGGGGTGATTCGTAGACATTACTAACAAAATCAATAATCAGAAGTTACAAAAACAAACATGCTGTTGCATACAAATCCTAGCTCTGGTTATTATTAATACTTTTACATCATTTACTTTTTAAAATCTTTAAATATTATTAACAAGTCAAACAAGAGGAATTGTGTTATATTATATGATCGATTGTAATTAAATTTAAAAATTTTATGAAAAGTTTACGAAAAAAAACCAATAAATAATGTGTATCTATATAATTACAATAATTATATATAATCTATAGTCTATATATGATC